TTGAGTTGCCATTTTTCGTATGCCTCTTTAAGTCCGCTCACAATGAGGTTATATGTTGAGCAAGAAGAGCGGCTCGTTTCCTTAGTTTATCGAGACAATGTCGACAAATGTAAAGTGATGCTCTAAAAGTCTAAAACAACAAATAGCAACTGTGGAAGAGCCTTTCGTGTGGCTTTTCGATGGTTCGAGAGCACACAATACAATTACAATTAAGATTATTCGACGCCATGTGCGCTCCTGGCCATGAATTTAGTATTCGGTGCGCCCGAATGATTATCATGTTATTATGCAGTTCATATTACGTCACCGTGATAAATCTCTGACGATAAACCCAGCAGTTCAGCAGACTGAATTTTCCCCGTTTAATTTCCGGCCCCCTAATTCAGTCTGCGAGCTGGCTAGGCAAGGTGTAAATCATGAATAAACGTTTTATAACAAAATATTTACGAAGGAAATAAGAAATTTATGTAATGTGATTTTATAAATAGACTACTAAGACAAGGTGTATCCCCAAGGGGATACGCCTTGCCGACGATAATTAAAAATCTTATATGATGGGCTTGGCACCCTATCTAAAAGACCGACAGGTAATGAATGCACGCAATATGGGAAAGGTGGTGAATGGCCAGCAGCAATTTGAAAACTAACAAAGACCAAATACCCAAACCACAAGGACTGAAGTTCTTGAGTGTAACCTTTTTACCAATTAAAAAGCGTGCGATAGATAGAACACATTTCTCGATTTTATCAATCGGGCCTTATATTGTATTGTATCTAATTCAATCCCAGCAAACGTTAAGGTTGTTGAGGGACCCATGGTTTTTTCCGATGTTACAGGCACGCCAATGAAATCACAAAGAGCAATGAATAATTGTAAGTTTGTTTAACAAGCAGAATAATCCGGTGCAACAAACAGGAAGTCGTCGAGCAAAATTAATGAAGGAGCTTGCCGATGTTAAGCCTTTCCGTGGCGATCCATTTGATAGCCGTAGTAAAAATCTCAAAAGTGCCGGCGACACGAACTGGAGCAACCCATTAGCATTGCCCAGTCGTAATAATACAAACTCCGCGTAAATAAATCACATTAAATAAAACGCTTTATACGGTTATACTGCAGAAAGAGCAGCAAGAGGTGTGACAATAGGTAATCAAGTCCTCAGTTTATTCTGATTGTCGGATAGATATAACTATTTCAGTGTGTATAATGTATAAATAATATAAATAAAATGTTTCATGGGTAACTTTCTGTTAAGAATCCTACATATTAATTATTATTAATTTATAAACGTGCTCCAATTTTGTGCGGAAATTAAATTCACTAGCTTGTGGTCAACCTTTTGCACTCTGCTGACTTGTATTGCATGTACCAAATGTGATAAACTAAAAACGTTAATTAAACTATAAAATCGCCCAGGAGATGACTGGCTGACAGAGTCTGTGTCGCAAGATCGAACTATATGCTACTCCACTCAATTTTTTGTTATCACTCATGCATATCTTTTTATTTTTATAACTTTTAATTAATAAGAGTAACTCCTATTTCACATTCTCAATAATTTCAAAATCATGCAATGAAAGATCAATTTCTATATAGATATTATTATATGAATATTTTGAAAGGTCTATGGACCTTTTTTTATATTTTTCAGTGGTTTTGTGATGCATTGTATGCGGTTCGGTTTGCTAACTATTATTGCCATCACTGAAAACGAATAAAATGTCCAGCAAATTATCAACTGCATGTGTTATATTGTTGTTACTAAAACAACCAACAGTCAATAGAAGGAACATTCAAATCTGCACTTGGCATCATTTATATGTAGCTAATAAAAACCCCAAGCAATGATTTAATGAAAATACATGCAATATAAGTCAATCGTGATCATGGCTACAATATTAGAAAAAGTAACTCACAATACACTCTATAGTATAGAACTGATAATCATTAATATATATGACGTCAAAGCCATTGCACACTATACATAGCTATGTTTATAGCGGACTTGCGTTTATGATGTAAATTGAACTATCTACATAATTATACCCATGACTTTTGCCAAGTGTTCGCAATTATGCACGCAATCTCAGTTTTTTGACAAAATTTCACATTTCTCTGGCAAATACCACGCGTTGAGAACGTAAAATCATAGGACAGAAATCCCATCGTGTGCGCCTGGCTCGCACGGTGCGGTACTCCGCACCGGCTCGGGGATAACAGTTTTACAGTGATATTTCGAATTTATCTCAAAGTCATTCTTAAACCAGTATGGCCGGATATTAATTTTACAAGTTTGTTATTATAATTATAATCATGCACACACTGGAAGTGATTACTTCCTAGAAATGTAATACTATAGCTACTTTAATACTTTCTTTCTGTTTCTTGTGTCCTATATAAGAACTGTTGAACGTTACAGTTGTCGTGAAAATTTGCATATAGTGATGCATGATATGAGTGATAGGAGTGATAAGTGGCTAAACCAAAAGGAAAGACCTATAACAAGATTTAGATGATATAGATTATCGTCCATATAATATCAATTCAGTAATTTTGAATTTTTTCCCTAAAATTATTTCTCGCATTTTTCTACGCTTGAGTTATTATGCAAGAAAACTATTGGTTTAACCATGTTAAGCCTTTTGCGTTTATATTGCATTTCCATATCTGTTACTAATACATCAATTATTTTCAAAATCATCCGCTAATCGTCTGCTACCGATATCAGGTCGGCGGTCATATGTGAACCAGTCTTCTTTGGGTACTTCTGCGGAGTGTTAACTTATTGCTGCCGAGCTTCAGCGAGGCAGCACACTATTCTGGACGTACTGATGTTTCTCCAGAGTTCACTCGACCCAGGCTTTTGCGCGCATTTATGTATTGTCGAAATTTGGATTTGATTCTGTCTGTCTGTCCGGAAAGATTTTTGTTCCGGGGGAATAATTAAGCGTGCGTATGTTTAAAAAATTAAAGGGGGGACGTACGGATTATATCTTCTAAATTGTAACGCGTGTGCAAATATCGATGTGCTGGAGTGCGAATGCAAACTGCCAAGTAAGTATGGTTTTTTCCTTTCTGCCGATTTCCATCAAGGTGATGAACTTTTTAGTATTTACTCGAGAGGCAAACAATGTGCTTTTATGAGTTTATCGGTGCTTCTTACGGCCCGAAATTTTCCCTTATCGTCGTGGTCGAAGATTACATTTAATAACGTCTTATTACAACCGTTACAAGGCCGGGGACAAAATGTACATAAAATCTCTTAATAGGGGTTTTATAGTCTTACCGTCAGGTGTACATTTTTTGTCTGTGGAAAACTTACCAACATATGTTAGTATATCAAAGGGAGAAAAATGTATGTAAAAGCTCTGAACTGACACTTAGTTCTAGACTGTACCAGTACAATTATGTTCATTTAATAAGTCGACATATCGGGTCCTACTAAAAACCGCCCGAGACCGCCCGAGAGTATAGAAAAACCGCCCGAGACCGCCCGAGAGTATAGAAAAACCGCCCGAGAGTATAGAAAAACCGCCCGAGACTTCAAAAAAGCGGCTAACAGAAATCTGAAGTTATTTTGTGTTTTTAAATTAAATATCACTAAATATGAAACGTTCTAAGAACACGTATGCTTAGACAAGAACATTTGACACTAACTAGCACAGATTAGCGGGCTGAATTGTAATATATTGTGCATGGAAATTCTCCTGGCTCTGTTGTTTTACTCAACATGATCCCCCCATGCCTTTAAAAAATTGACTGGTTCGTCCCTAAATTTCAATCAATTTTAAAATAAAAGGTCTCTAGATCTATAGTTTATAACCGGTCTCGGGCGGTTTTTAGTAGGACCGGACATGGGATATCGGCTGTGTTTTGTCATAACAACTACAAATAGATGATCTGCCCGTTTTTTAAACCCTAAAGTCATCAGCATGACTTTGCCCATGGGGCTCAACATATACTGGAGGGACACAAAGGATTAGCCCAATCATTGTACATGTTAGAGACAACTGAACACAATTTTATGCGGCAAGTCCCATTGAGAGTCTGAGAGAGTAAATAGTATTTACAAATTACAGACACCAATATTTGAGAGTTGAGACACAAACAGTGTCAGTAAAGCATGAGAGGGTAATCATACATATTTTATGAATCCGGCAGTATTTTATGAATGATATATTTCCTCAATATTTGTAGATGTCTAAATCATGTGCAATTCACATAATGCTACCAGGTACTGCAATTAATGTTTGCCAGGGTGAATTAGAGCAAGTTTGACCTATGATACATGCAGACTTTAATTAAATAAAGGTGCATGGTGTATATACCTTGTTACCTTCAATGCATCAATGGACATGAAACAAAAATAACAGAGTAAACTACAGTAATTACAAAACGAATCAAAGTGTTTAGAAAATGCAAATTAAATTATGCCCAAATTTACTACATTATTAGAATGTAGAAAGTATGATTAACTTTTACCTCAGCCTGTCATGTATGCAAATATAAACGTAATCTGACACCAACCCTGGTTAACTCGAACAGTTTTTCTTGAGAGTTCAAGTTAGCGGGGGATATATTTATATTGTTACTCTATTGAATATCAGGAAAGCTTATCAATTAATACTTAGGCATCATAGATCTGTAACTTCTTAGTCAGTTTTATCTTGCCAATAGCAGTTTTATAGTTGTTATATTGAATTTGTTATATTTTGTAATAAATTATATATTTGTTCAAATGTTTACATATCAAAGTTTTCCTTATAATCATATATAATCAAGTATGATTAACTGTATGCTGCTGGTTCTTTTTCCACTCCAGTTAAGTTATTAAGTTATGTTCGTGAATCTTGTTATTGTGCCCTCATTATTAATGTCACACTGTTGCCCTTGTTTCTGAATAAAACTGTTATCCGTAAAAATTCATCTGAACATTTAAATAAAGATTTTTAACTTAGCACTTTTGAGAAGTGTTTTGTCTATTTTAGGCAGTTGTTATACAACATTTGATGCTAAGTAGTTTGAAGATGCTTCCACGCTGCTCCCTGGTTATATTGTAAAAATTTTTAATTCAGATCTTCGGCAGCAATTTTTCCTTCTGATAAGAACGTCTAGTTTCTATGGGTTTCCAGATTTATTTACAAATATTTTTATCTATACACGTATTTACTCGGGGGGGGGGAGACTGGAGAATGCAAACATCATTACGGTCCCGACCTATAAATTGGCTTGAGGATAAAAAACCCTCTCCTTTAGGTCGCCATTGAAATACCATTAACTATATAATTATGTGTCAATCGTAATTTACGCGCACTAAAATTGATCAATTATTATAATATATACACCTCTAATATATAAATAATAAAATATATAAAAAAAGTATAAAATATCTTTTTTTGTTGTGTGAATCTTCACCGCCTTTTTGATGGCTTCTTTCCAGCTTTTGGGCTTTTGTAGTCGAAACTCTCCCGGCATATCGAGCAACGAGTTCTTTAAAACAACCGGAAAAAAATCCGTGATATATAGCGTTGACGTTGTCTGAGATGTAAAAGCAATCGTAGAGCTCTTTCAATATCTCGAGATATTAGAGATCTCTAATATTTTTTTCAAACAAATATTGTCTCGTTTCCACTTGAGGCTTGCATGTTCCCTTAATTTTCATAAGAGAGTTGCCTCCAAATTAATGATTCATGCAAAAATAACTTACATTCCGCTTTGAATCATCATCGAAATTAGGCATTCTTTGTGGACTTTGTGGAAACATGGAAGAATCTGGGAACCTTTGAACGTATCCTGCAAAAAGATTAAAAAAACGTGGATTTTAAAGCGGTTACTATTTTGTTTTCCACGGGGAGGGGCTAGTAGATATTAGGTTTAATGTACTAGCTAATGTATAATTATAGTGCGTCATGATTAGTAGGAGATCCTTGAACAAAAATACATAGTTACCTCCAGGCAGATACCACAATGCTCATGACCGGAATCTGGGCGACATTTGTGATTTTCTTTAAGTTGAACATCAAGACAAACACCACAAATATCGCAATGAAATGAACGATCTCCGTGATTCCTACAACATCAAGTTACGATGTCTGGCTACTCACAACTTTGTAAAAAAAGATTTTTTCGTTTCAATTACGGTTGTCAATAGGAAGGTTCATACCTGCAAATTCCGCATTTCTCGCAATGATAGGGATGATTACCCTTTCCGGTCAGATGTTTGCAAATACCACAGTAAAAATCAGCGAATCGAGTGTTACACGAAATGCAAAATTGACCATTTTCACCAAACTGTGTAAACATAAAAATATTAGTAACAGAATATTTATTGGCAGAATTGTCTAAATCCTAAAGGGGAAGAACTGTCAATCCACTGCAGCGAACGTGAACTAGTCTATAGGCATAAAACGGATGTACTCATTGAAAGAGATTTTTTACTATATACATGTATACTTCCATACAAATGAAAATCGTCTCCTCTTGCAGTGCAGAGATTACTTCAGCTTGAGTTTGAACTGAATAAAATGGGCTAAAGAAATCTTTTCTTTTTTACCTGTTGTTCTTTTTCGCACTTCATGCACTTTATCATCGTCGTATCACGTGTTTTTGGTTTCTGCTTACACGTGCTCGCCTCGTTGTGGCAACGACTGCACGGCCAGTATTTATCACAACAATCAAATTTCACCATGCAACGTCTCTCGTAATGATTACATGGCCAACTTTGCTTTTCCTGCGTCGACTTATAGCAGACAGATGTTGAATTCATGTCAATACAGACGAGAAACCAGGCAAACTCTTCTTAAATCCGAATCTACACGGATGAATGGGACGAGTTTTCTAATCACCAAAACGGTCAAAGACAGAACTAAAGTAAGGGAAAGAAACATTTTATAACCACCTGACCACTCATACATTTATTTCACAATTCCTACTTTCCGACAGTTTATGAAAGAACGAATCAAGATAAGCTTCCAATTTCTACTATGAATTCGGCATTTCGGCTAATATCGAACACTCTACTTATAGTATACAGGTCCTACCTAATATGAAAGTCTATAAAATAATGCTCTTTTTTCTCCCTACACAATGAAACAATTTTGTTATCAGTCGGAACCAATTTAAAGTGTTAATGCTATATAAATGTAATAATTTTGATCTCCACGGCTCCTATTACTAGTTTCTAAGTGTTATTTTTGCTCTGCAGTTGTGCTATCCTGAACTAACTGTATATTAAGTACTGCTCAAAATGACACTAACCAAAAATAAAATAATACATCAAAAAAATAACAGTGTTCTACTTTATGAACATTATGAATCAACGATAACGCACGTGATGCACAAATGTTCCTTTCTCCACTTCGAAATGATGTCAAATTCACAATGAATTATCATACATACATAATTCAGAATCATACATACACATTATTCATTGTATATCTACGCGTCTGCAAGTTTCTGGGGTTTCCCCGGCCGTGACTTCACAATAATTATTAGACAATTATTGCTGCCGCAGCGAGGTCGCCTGAGCGACCGAGCAAGGCAGCAGTCCCTAATTTATGTAGTAGGGGAAGCAAATTTACGAAATAGCGCACTGCATTGTGGTAAAAGATCTCCTACCACAATGCAATGCGGTCGGCTATACTATAAAACGACTGCATGCTTTATACGGTCAGTGTTTCAAATTCAAATTGTTTTTGGAAGGCAGACACTGAGTTAGCCGTGAGATTGTGCTCGCATGACGCATCACTGTTGTATAAACGGACACCAAAAGCGACGTGGTGAACCATACCGTTACTTGGCAATTGGAGTCTTGTGCTTTTGGTCTTTTACAAATACTTGCGCGTTTGGAATTTGAACTTTAATCTATTGTGATTTTAAGGTGTCGTATAACATTTGACTGTCACTTGTTTTATAGCTTTGTCATTTCGATTTTTTTAAAAGGTTTGAAACATATTTTCTTTTACTTTTATCATTGGGGTAAACCTGTGTGGCGTAACTAAAGCATGTATAAGTATTTAACTTTTAAGTTAGTTCTTTGATTGTTTTATTTAAGGGGCTAAAGCCTTAGGGTTTTAGTTTCACAAATACCTCGCGCATTTGGAATTTGACCTTTGATCTATTGTAATTTGAAGTGTCGTATAACATTTGACTATAATTTGCGTAACCATGGTATGAATTTTTAACAAGCAAGCATTTTGCGCATGCTATTTCTATAAGAGTATAGGCAGCAATACTGCCTTTAGGTAACCTAGTAAGTATAGATATAATAAAGCTAAATCGCTGACTCATATAATTATTATGACTCGAAAGTGTCACCTGTCGATCGATAGATCTGTAGAGCAAATCCAAGATTCAAAGCAAAATGACAGTAGATGTCATCAGAGATGTATTACGGAAATGGAGCTTTTTGCGGTTTCTGGCCGCGTATTGTTTCAAGATTCATCCGATCGATTTTAATGTGGTATATATTTAAGTAAATTGGATAAAATTTGCAAAATGGTCTATCGATAAATAGCCTATGGCCTATCATTTTGCCAGAAACTCAGTGCAAATATATTCGGTGCTGAGAAAATCAAATAAATAAACACTAAACAGTCTTAATTTGACACAAATACATAATTCCATTCCATCATTCCAAAACTCAAGTGGCAAAGCTGACTTGGACGCGTATTTTGTGCGAATACATTTGGCACAATTCTTTCCAGGAAATTGTTAAGCGGCAAAAAGTTCACAGAACACAGTTCAGAGACGTAGTGCGTGAAAGGGTGTGAAGGGCTGGCCTCGTTTTCGTCAAACTCGCAACAGATCTCGTGCTCTTTAGGGAATAGTTAATAGAGGCCGAAATTTCGTCTTAAAACGCAATGACTTACGACGTCAACTACGACGCCAGCTAATGGCTAATTACTCCGGCGTCAGCGACGGAGTTGAAAATTTGCCTCGGTTTTGTTTTGTTTTTGTTTTATCGTCGTAGGTGTGTAATGGCGCGAAATATACTAGTATTTACTTATTTTACTATTTAAAATCTGTATGTGATCGGATTTATCTACGTTTTGTCTCCCAAGAGTTGTGGTGCACAACTTTGGCTAATTTTCCGATGCGCGACTCTATTTCGCTCGCATGATACGGCAATCCTCCAAGAGGAACAAATAAACCGTTCTTTTGATGCTCTTCGATTAAGTTTAGATTAAATCGGGCCGGTAAGAATATATTTAATACATGTAGATTCTGGTCCTATTTTAATAATATCGCTGCTATTTCGCCGTTTAACAAGATGTGGCCGTGTATATAGGCGCGTTGACACGTCGCAGTTTGCACAGGATTGAAAATTTAATATAACTATATATAAGGCACGAATTCCAAAGGCAAAGTGTAAGACAAAGTGAATACCATCATGCGGTTTATTTACATTTTGAACAATTGAACTTCTATACTTTTTAAAGTACGATGTGCTTCTGAATTTGGCGATCGAACAACATTTAGGTTCGAACATGAACTGTATTGTTTATGTTCAGACGCTTTATATTGAAGACTGGCACATGCGCGGCACGCCGGAGTTAATTAACGCCAGAACAGGCGTCTTGTTGGATGTTTAAATCCCTTAGAGGTGGTCATAGATTCTCCAGCCCTACGCATGGAACGCCTTCACTTGAGACATACAGAAATATTTTGTCAGAACTCGGTTATACATAAACGTAATAATTTATATCTTCATTGTTTCAAAGTCGTATTTCAACTCGTCTTACTAGTTTGTGGTGATATTCTTAAATGATTATAGGACCCGAATTATTACATTGAAATACGTTAAAATAATATTTAAAATATAACAGTTTTTAACGCAAATATCATGTTAAAACTCTTTCCCACCTTATATTGTTTGAAGCCCACGCTAACACATTTGTATATGCCTATATGGTATATTCCTTTGTGATTTTCTTTGAACTGATGTCACTACAAGAAGCGAACGAATTTATTTCGACCACTTGTAAATTTCGGCTTGTTTATATCAATTATTAATCGATGCATCAGCATGTTTTGTAGGGCCGTAGGGGATTCCCCATGAATTGACTTATATTGCACAATTATGACTACATACAGTGAAATACGCTGCTATTTAAGATTATAGACTGGATAGAGCAAGCATATACTTATCTAGTAATACATACAGTAAAGGCAAAATATCCAAGATATTCTTAATTTCTTTAGATTTTACGTCGTATTTACGCATATATCCTGGCGTGTAAATCCAGGATCACCATGCTGGTGAATTACACAAAATAAATCTTGTCAAATCAGAACAGAAGTGAGCAAAAAAAATGTCAAATCCGTAATTATAAAATGCCTACGAAGCAAGGACGTTTTTTGAACTGTAGTCAAATTTTTATTCTGTGTTCAGCAAGAAATTTCAAAAAACAAAAAACGCAAAATAAGCTAAATTGGGCTTTCATCTAAGACTAAGTTAAAAAAGTATTTTATGCCGGATATTCTAACAAAATGCGAATTCAATTATATGGTGATGAAATGTTTCATTAAAAATCGGCTACACAGGCCATCTCGCAAAAATCTTTGAGACACTTCTCCAATCCCCCCTTCTCCCCATTTATAGACAGTGTTAGCTATAAATATTCAATACAAACAATATACTTTTCGAAAGAGACGCATGGGATGTGGAGGTAAATAGAGCCCCGTTTACACTACACTCGATTTATTGGCAGGGCACGGCTAAAATGGGTAGCCTGGGCACTGATAAAATCGGGCACGAGTGCCCGTTTTAGCCGTGCCAATAAATTGAGTGTCGTGTAAACGGGGCTTAGAATTGTAGAAGCAGGTGTATTTGAGGCAAAAATCAAAAAGTAAGAAAAAATTTACTCACCATTTTTGCACCTGATTTTGCACCTTCCGTTAAGAACTCCTAGTAATTAATGCTACTGTTGGTTATATTTTTCGTGAGACAGAAACATTACTTTAATTGTTTAGTAATAACTATAATGCATTTTTTGAAGAGCACTGTAGTATCATATTACGGGTATTACTTGTATTTTTAAGAACGAAGCATTTATCATAGCTATTCTATTCAAAACGTTTCAACGTATACCATGCATGTATCAATGAAACTCAATATTTACGAAGTGTTACGTAATTCATTGTTTATCACCGCATTCCCAAAATAATCATAAACAGTATCATGCAGAAGTGACCGAATACGGCTATTTTGTAATGCTACTCTATATAAAAGCGTGTACGTACAACTGAAAACGCGACAGTGGAAAGCAGCCCCTTTTACACAACACTCAATTTATTCGTACGGTTCGGCTAAAAATAATGGGTACCGTGCCCAAAAATATTAGTGTTCAGGCTACCAAAACAAAGACCGGGGGCACGGACGAAATGGGCACGGGTACACATTTTAGCCGTGCCGTGCCAATAAAAACCCCGTTTACACTACAATCAATCTATTGGCACGGCACGACTAAAATTGGTACCCGTACCCAATCATTAGTGTGCAGACTGCCAAAACAAAGGCTGAGCTCAGATGAAATGGGTACGGGTGCCCATTTTAGCCGTGCCGTGCCAATAAATCGAGTGTAGTGTAAACGGGGCTTTTAAACGAGTGTAGTGTAAACCAGGTATAAGCACTAATAAAATTGGGCACGGGTACCCGTGCCAATAAATTGACTGTAGAGTAAACGGGGCTTTAGACTGTCGTATCAGTGTGCTAGTCTGTCCTGAGTTGTGTTGAGCGAAGAGGTGAAAGATTATTCTCTAGTGCATGCCTGTAAGATATATAGGAATTGCGGGTACGCGATAGAATAGCAAACACAAAGTATACTATAGTCTATAATTTATACCAATCGTGTAATGAACGCTCCAGTGTAACTTGGTACCACATGGTATGATTGACCGGCAAACAAGGCCATTAAGCCAAAAGCTTGGCGAGGTGATATCGTTGCGGCATGCTTGCTCTCGCAGGAACTGATCGATGCTTTGTTGATTTTCTTTCCTAATACACGGAAATAACCGGAGCAGATATATTAAGTTAAATTATCTAGACATAAATTGCAGGATTATGAGTTCGAGAGAGTTATAATACAGCCAGTGTACAAAACATGAACACGACCACGGTGCCCTTTGCTGCAATGAGTGCACTTACGATGGCATACAACAAGCACAATAGTATGCAGCAGGTATTTTACTGTGAATTATAGCCAGCGACCCGTCGCTGAAACCGTTCAAGTGTAACACGTTATACTACACAATTTAAACTATATAAACTATGGCTTCATAACTTTATTTCTATTTTGGCGGATTGCTTGGAATAAAGGTCCAAATACTACCATAGATGTACAAATCAACTTACCTAAACTGAAGAGATTGACAAAGGATATTTACCTACAACGGACAGGATCGTAGAAAGAAAGAAAGAAAGAGAAACAGACAGCAGACTTCAAGCGATATCCTTAGCAACTGACCAACACGTAGGCGAGAGGTGAAGCACATTGATTATGCGGCGGTGCGCGCGCAACTCATGTTACCCCGGATGTACGCAATTTGGTGAGAATTAGATTCTTGCTGAAACTTCCTCTTCTTGATAATTATAGGATATGTGAAACGATATGTTAAATAGTTTTTTCGATTTGATTACTTGACAAGGGTGTCAAGCAAGTTATTATTGGTAAAAAGAGTTTTATGAATGTGCAATCACCATAGTTACTAACACCAGACACACCCAATGATTTAAATTAACGATTTTTGTAAATACGATAACTAACGCTAGAACGACGGAGTTGAAACTAGAACAAATGACACTTCTGCACTGTTAAACGTTTTTTAGCCAATAAATATAAATCTATCTAGTCGTTAATTAGTCTAGACCGAACGGAATGCAACTCTTTTTGGTTCATTTCCGTGTTAAATGTCTTTTACAGTCGCAGCAATAGAAGCGTTCCAAAAAATATCAGTTGGTTTACGGAATTTTAGAAAACTAATTGAAAAACTCCTTACTTCTGGTAACGTCCTTACTTCCTGTATTTTCACAGGCCAATCAATTTTTGCCTGATTATTCAGCAATTCTTATTTGAAATTTCATTAACCTCGTTATAATATATTCATAAATTATTATAATATATTCATAAATCTCTGAGAGAACAATACAATAAAACAATGAAACAATAAAACAATCCAATCGGGCCGTTTTGTTTGCTCAGGGTAAACTTTCGTTCAATTCTCGCGTTCCGGTTATATATTTTTTCAGGAAAAATATTTAGGATCGAACTAGGGAGACTGTGTGGTAGACCACTAACATCCTGTATTGTACTAAAATAATGTAAGGGTTAGAGTCTGTTGTGAGTGTTTTGTTCACAATACACGCTGACAATACAATGAACGAGAAATTTATTGCTAATAGACGAAGATTGCATATTAAAAAATTTTACTGACTATTTATAACGATATTCTGTTATGTTGTATATTTAAGTGCTAGCTATACGTATTGTTATTAGAATATTTCATAATTGTTATCCGTCCATGTTTCACGCTACGGTGTCCTTGTTAATTGGACCAATAAATTCCACACACAGCAAAACGTGACAATACAAAACAAACATCTCATCTCCTGGTTGTTGTCTTTTCAATAGATCGTTTTTGAAGTTTGTGCGCAAAACTTTCTCGGCAAATCGGGCAACGTGTCCTGGTGAAAGAAAAAACATAATTACGGTTTAGATAAAGTACATACCATGGGCGCAAAATTTATATGTAATTTGACGAATTATCTCCAAAACCCGACTGATTTTATACGTAATTGATTTAAACCATCATTGTCGTTCTAAAATACTACAATTAATCTTGTGCGCAGGATCCAGCAGGTTATTGCATGTCTGTACAGAATAGTAAACTTAGAAATAAGCAAAGACAAACCTCGTCCTACAGACAATTTTTTTCTCACTAACACCTAACATTCCTCGAGATTCATGCAACAACTGAAGCTTATTATCCGTAAACAAAAAACATCGATCTGATATTCACATTAAAGAGCGAACTATAAGCATGCAAGGTCAATAATCTGTTTATTATATGGCCGAACTGCATGGCACGTAGCTACATGGAATATACGGTAATACCGACCACGATCCGTACCAATCAGAATAGAGGATCTTGAAAAGGCGTTTAATAAGAACGCTTATTTCACACCTTACGAGAACATTCAACTTACATTCCATTTTGAATCATACGTGTAACACATTCCTTATGAACTTTGTGGGAGCACGGAAGGATCTGGCAGCCTGTAAATGCGTCCTACAGAAAAATAATTACAATCAGAAACTTGGTTAATATCATTTTACACAATTCGACTCAAATCTTGGACTGAAGGTTCGCAAATAATTTCACGATACCCCGTAGCGAGGCGTACTCTAAACATTTAAAAAAAAATTTGAAAAAGACTATTAATCTTTTTAAGTCATATCATGTAGTATTCCCTACACAAGGTTATTTAATCAGATTGCTTAGCCTGGTATATGCATTTGTTTTCTGACCGAACCGAATAATTATGTATATAGGGACAATTTGTAGACTTTCCGCTACTTTGATATAGTGATCAATATTGATATGTACCTCAAAGCAAATACCACAGTTGTCATGAGCGGAATCTGGACGACATTTATGGTTTCCTCTGAGTTGAACATCAAGACAAACACCACAGACGTCGCAATGATATGAACGATCTCCGTGGATCCTGGAAAAAAATTATAACAATAGCAGTGCAAATGAGTCTTTAATTTGCAAGCGGTATACACAATATTGAGCATATATACCTGCATATTCCGCATTTTTCACAATGATAGGGATGATCATCCATTCCAGTCAAATGTTTGCAAAGACCACAATAATAATCAGCGAATTTACTGTTACATGCCACGCAGAATTGATCATTTTCGCCAAACTAAATTAAAAAAAAAAGACGAGACATTTAACGCTTGCGATAGAAACCTTTAAATATTGTAGAAAATCTTCACTAGAAGTGGACGATGAAAAAACTGAACCTTCCACAAACGGTGACATCATCGTAAATCAGTTATACATGCATGTATGATTTCCACCAATCTTAAAAGATCTATATCGCTCATCGCGAGGCAATTATATCACAGGGCCATTATGGGCGTAAAAATATTTAACAATATTGTCACTAACTTGTTGTTCTTTTCCGCATTCCATGCACTTTACCATCGTCGTATCACGTGATTTCAGTTTCTTTTGCTGGCACGTGCTCGTCTCGTTGTGGCAACGATGACAAGCCCAGTATTTATCACAACAATCAAATTTCACCATGCAACGTCTTTTGTAGTGATTACACAACCATCTTTCCACTTGCAATTGTTCCACCACGTTATTTGATCCCGGAGACATATTTAATTGCCCGGAGAGATTTTGCTTCGTCACCCTTTTCTCAGCAGCACTCGAGGTAATCTTTGCTCGAGACCTATTGCCATCACCTTTTTGAAAAAAAATATTCATAATACTTTGTTTCTTGCGAAAACCAAACGTAGATGTAGCAGCAAAATGTAGAATTGGTTTATGCTCCATACATGCAATCCTCTCATCTATTACAGATACTGAAGATTTATAAAACTTTCTTTTCATCGCACTTAATAGACAAAATTAATAAAAAGTGAATATTTATTCATTTCTAGTTGGAAATTATATTTATAGTAGCGAACTAGTATAAACCAACCTCTTTCATTTTCCCGTCTGGTACGATCTGTAGGAATCTGTAGGAATCTCTCGCTCGTCGGAACTTCATTTTCAACTGATCTGGAGATCCTTCGAGAATATCGCGAACACCCACGGGAAGCGTCATGTTGACTACTGCCTATACATTGACTGCTCCGGCTGGATTCTGATGCTACGCTCTGTTCCACAGGAGATGAAGAGCTCGAAGGATGATTTTTCGTAAGGATCCTAGACAGGTGAGCCTGACTTCTTGTGATTTCACGTGTTTTTCTTACGCTTCTTGCCTTTATTCCACACATGGCCAATTTCAGCATAGCATGGTCTCCGCAGTTAAATTCATCAATGAGGCAAACTAAATCAATTCTTTTAATCGACTGGAAGAAAACACGGAGCACACCTAAATCTGAAACACTGATAACACCTTTCCCGTCTAAATCAAGAATGACGTCGGTTGCTGTAAATTTGGTTTCAATGGAAAAATTTTCCCTTGCCCAACACTTAAACTCCACAATATCACCTAAGAGTAGGCTATAACTAATTGTGAGCAATAACTGCTTGTAGCCGTTCAACACTACTGGATTACCAATTGACTCTGCGCTACTTCCTTCGGCCACTTCAACAGGGAATGGTATTAATTCAAATAAAGCGCCACTTTCATTGTTATCTTGATTTTGAGGTCTATTCCTTTTTTGCTGATTATTGCTTTGCTGTGGACGTACCTCTACAGGTCCAATCCTGGTTTCTGAAATAGTGCCACTGAACGAAATGTTGGCATTTACGATTGACATCGGACTATACTCTGGCGTATCATCGCCTCCATGATTTACTGCCTTACGAGGAAAAATCTCCTGAAATTTTTTTACTGCTCTTGCTTCATTCGTTTTTAAATCGTTTTTGACTAAAATATTTCCAAGCTCGGCTAAGACAACTCTCTTCTCGTTATCCATCTTGCGAAGGGCATTTTTCAAACTTAATATTTCCGATGCTAAACGTTTTTCTTCTTCGATATATTTCTGTCTTTCTAATTCCAACTGTCTCTGTATTTTTCGGATTAAAAACTTTTGATGGCATAAATCACGTCTTAAATTATCATTTTCTTGCGGTTTTCGACTGCTATTCTTTGACTCAAAATTTACTTCTAAATTACTCTTTTTAAAATCTATATCATTGTCTGACGTTTGTGTTGATTGGTTACAAGTCGCTGGTTTTACCGAAACATTATTAATTATTTTACAACGTACGTCTATTGTTTTGGAATATCTACAATCATCGTTTTGAAATCGATTTTTACAGACTTCACGCTCTTTCAAGGAAATCCGAAATTCCAACATAGACCGACATTTAAGGCTACTAATCGCACACTGCACAAAAGAAACATAATTTTCTAAAAATTTTAAAAGTTTTTCCCTTTCTTTAAAGCAAATAGCTTGAGTAAATATTTTACGAAGGCCAATGTTTTCACACAATCGACTATCAAAGGATTGAAACATTATTTTGATTACATGAACTTTTTTATCTGCTCTGTGACACTTAATTAACCGAGGTTTTAAATCAAATTTAGACAATTCCTCAACTATGGTTACAATTTTATTTTCGAAGTCTCCTTTTCGAAGCTCTTTCCACGGAACTGAATCAACTACGTTCAGAGCGGTAATGCGTCTCTTAAACTGAAATTTCAACAATATTCGTACATTGGGATTGTCATGACTTTCAGTTTTGATACGATCGCAGAACGTATTTTTAGGCTTTTCCAAGAAATGACGGTGTGACATCCTCTATGCATTACCTTACTGATGGTTGAAGATGGCACCTGTTTGCGAGAAATTCTACCCAACAATGTAGACGGTATCATCGATTTAAAGACTTTGTTTAAGATCTACCAGACACCCACTACAATTGCATCGTTGACAATTTGAATCGTCCAGTGTCATTGTCCCGCGACAACGGCTGTAATCGTGAAGGAAAAACAAACTTTTCTTAGCCATGTGTTGTCTTTACCATCTTTAGAAATCAATAAAACATTTAGACTGCTTCAGAATGAATGGAAAAGATCAAATGATGTTACATAATAATTGTATTTCATTTCGTTGTGTATTAATGTAATGAGTTCTCGTTGGCTGATAGCACATTTCTCATTGGCTGATAGCACATTTCTCATTGGCTGATGGCACCTTAAAAAACCACACCCATCGCGTGCATTGCCGTCACTCAGCTAGTCAGCCGCACGTGTTTACTTTTCATTTGTTGTGCTTTAAAAGCACCATCGATGGTTTGCATTGTTAAATTTAAAAGTGAACATTTAATGAAGTTTCTACTTCAACTTGGACATAAACGTGTGTTTTTTGTATTAGCTACACATGTAATAAATTTATACTGAGTTTCATTAAATTTTGACCGTCTGATATTTCACTGCTGAGGGGTCTCCTCCATACCTTGTTCGTTGTTTCACTTAATTTGAAATGTTTTCTATTCGGCTGAATTCAGCCTTAAGGCAGCGAAAGAGAATGGAAGTAATTTTATTGATTCGCATTATCGTCCATCAACGCAGTCAATCATGAAATAGCAATTTTTTACACGCACCAAGAATCTTCAGTTAAAAATATTTAGAACTAACCTTTAGCTTTCTTCGTCGTATATAATTATAGAGATTATCGAACTCTCTTATTAAGTGTTCTCTTAACTTCCCTTGTTATGACCGGGCTAATCGTTTTTGTAGTTTTGCAATTTGTATCAGCCTCGTACCCAAGCGCTTTTGTGAAAAACAAAAGTTATAAAGGTTGCATTCAGTTTCTATAAAGAGATCTGTGGCCAAGGAAAGCGCGCGAAGGTGCTTGGTATATATATATTAAAGCAACCAAGAATATGAAGAGTTTTTCATTCACGTGCTAAGATCGCTTCAGAAGTCGTTTCGGAGTTTAGATATATACACGTCCGAATAGAGAGAATTTTTGGGCAATCGTACCGAAGTTAATTTCGGTGTATTGCGCAAAAACAGATATTGAGTATGTTAAGATATTTCGATATTTTTAATTTTATAAATATGCAAATGACCTTTTTGCACTAATTGCACTTGTCCGGAATGGGTTTCTAAACACTTAGTTACATTTTACATTAAGTTTGTTAGTTGGAAGCCAAATCTGATGGGGGTACTTATATACCACTTGGTATAGGAATTTCCATTGGAAGGTTAGGAATTGGAACTTCCAAGGTGAACAGAATGCATTTCGAGACACATCTACACATTTTCAGTATAAAAGATGCTATACATGCAGTATTATTATAGTGAAATTATAATTACTGATCATGAAAATAATATGGTTTAATATGGTGTAGACTAGTGTTATTTGTGTTCTGTATTCTATGAACAGTGAAGTTTGAAACAAGACGTTTATACGTGCGTCTATATTTGTCAAAATCGTATGAAATAAGCAACAAATCATGTTGCACGTTTCGTGCGCAAGAAGGCTAAATCAAACCAAACGACTGGCGTTTCCCTCCACAGTTTGAATCACGAAAGCATAAAATATTTTAAAATAAAGGCAGAAGTGGCCGCAAATATACAATCAATACATGGTGCTGCCTGGATCTAGCGATCGAAATTGGCAGACTGGAGAAGAATAAAGGATTTACAAGAGAACAGTGCCATATTGTAAATCGGTGATCCGGAGATCGGTGTAAAATTGCAATAACTTGAAACATTAGGCTGAAACAAACGTCAATAATTAAAAGTGTTCACCAGTTATAGGGGCGCAGGTTAATCTGCTTGTATAGTATTGTATTGTATTGGTCTACTGCAATGCGGGCACGAAATATTCAACCTAATCACGAAAAGATTTTATTAACCTCCAAGATTGTACTTTGAAACCCATGCATGCATATATCATAATCCAAATGTTTCAGTTTATATATACAAAAGCGTGATAGCCGGAAGAAACTGAGATAAAACGGAAGACCTACTCTGCACCTTTTGAGTGGCCTATAAGCTATTTGGAATTAATTTGATTCACTTACGGGGTGGCTGAATTATTTGCACCTAAAAGGAGACAAATCTGTCTTTTCTTGCAATGTAGTTGATTGTTTTAAATTTTTATATATTATTATGTGGGGCAGCTAAGTTCACGTATAATAATCTATAGATAACTATAAAGTCCGTTTCCCGGGTCTTTCCCGATTTCCTTCACACAAAATTGTTAAGTGTATATTCCATGCATGCAAATTGCTAAGTGTATATATGCATGCATGCAATGATGTCGAGAGTGGCTAGGCATTTTCATTCTGCAATGATCAAATCTGAGCTGAAGGTTGCGAATTCTATTGTCACAGGCTATGTGCATATGTGTTTTGCAACATGACCCTACTTGTCTGATTGTAAATCCATATTGGCTGAATCTAAATATGATGTTGTAAATTTTAAAGTCACAAGACTTATTCTTGAGAAAAGCTAGCTCCACCTAATATATTCAAAAAATAAACATTGCGATTTGCGGAAATCGCAAAACTTACCTTGATCGAATATGATGACTATTTTACAGGCCTCTGTGTGGTGTATCTTGTAATTCAGACTTTAGCATATTATGCGCTCTGATAGTTGGCAATTGACCTTTTTATATACTTTTGATGAAAATTTCAAAACCCCCTATGGGCGAGAGGGAATTTTTCAATTGAATACGTCAGATTACTAATTAGGCACAAGATTTAGGTATGCTGGAGAATATGTATCCTGTTTATAAAACTAATATACATTCAACAAGAAACATTTTTATTGCATGCAACTAAGCAGAGCAGTGCAAATCCAATTCATTTATGAACAAGTATTATTTTCAAATGGTTTATCTTTGAAAATACTAACTAAGCAGTTTTTAGAGTTTGCTTACATCATTCCGTTTAGCGGCGGAAATTAGACGGGGCGTGACTTTGATGTATTGCAATGAGTATATAACATGACTCGGTCGTGGCAGTCGTGTACTCCTCCCGACAGTAGCATGCACTTGTTGGTTTCAGAAAGTTTTTTCACGCAGTTTCTCACGCGTCATTGAATTTCAGTCGGGTAAGCGGGTACAAGTAAACAGCTACTTCAAAGAGAAACTGGGGAATACCCTAAAACACTGAGTTGCAAAAACGCTGAGGTACGCAGATACCACCCGGAAGACGGTTTTCTTTGAATGACATTTTTGAGGAAGGTACAAAGTTAAACACTCTAATTGATCACATGCATGTAACAAAAAAACAAATATTTCTTTATGCTGTTTGCCACTTGACTCAGTGACGTAACGTCATTTTGAGGAAAGTTTACAAAACTTGAAATCCTACCGGAGAAAGGTTGAACTGTTGATGGTGTTATGACGACAATTTACCCCGTTTAGTGCAGCGTGTTCAAAAAAATCTCGTCAAGTATTTCTGAATGAGGAAATTCTTCACTCTGGATATTGGTTAGGACTGACAGTTGCACGGCCATCAAAAGAGCGAGTTATTGCAGGAACACGACATTATAAACAACAATCAATTCCACCGAACATGAAAATGTGCCTCAAATTTGTCTCAAACACCAATTTTAGGCTTCTATATCCATCCTGTACTGACATAGTAAACGAGCTCTACCCATTTTGCACCAACCCTGCATGGAGTGATTGGCCCACAGGTCCGTCATTCGTTAATTAAAATCCAGTTTGTTATCGTGTTCACAAAAATCGTCAATTTTCCACAATTGGGTGTGTTTGATCTGGGTAACTATAGTGATCGAAGGCTCTTACAATTGTTTTTTTCACTCAGAGAAACTTGGCTTGCAATATGCCATGAAAAGATTTTTATATTTTTAAAGATAAAAGAAATTTTTTAATGTACTTCACTACCTTAAAGCCTATAGTTTACATATTATGTATACCTGCACGATTGCAAATTTTACCGGTCTGGAAATACTTTTTGCCAAGTAATCACTTTTTTTATTGCTGGCAGACAGATTGATATGCTTGTTTATGGTTAGTCAGTGAATTCCACGCAGACCACTTTACATTTACACAGTTGCTGATTTTGCATGACTTGCAAAAATTTTATTCATTTTGCATGACTTTGCAAAAATTTCATTCATCAAACTTCAACGGGGATTTCCCTTTTCCCCTGACTATATCAGCGACAACTCATCATGCCTTGAAAATTGAAAAAAAGGTCACAAAAGATCACGAAGGGTCGCAGAATTTTGATTCGACTGCAAAATTATAACAATTCTAAACCTGGGAATTCCCCGTTAATTGCAGCTATTTTTGGCGACAATTTAGCGTGATTACAAACACAAACCAATAACTTTTGACAACATAGCAATATTGATGATTGTTATGGTTTGAATAGGGATTTAGAATACCTTAAAATGCTGTCAGAACAGATAAACAAACACATTAAACCACCGGATTAATAAATATTAGAATGGTAATAAAATTAAATATGATACGTGGTGAATATGATCATCCAAATGTATTTATAAACTTGCGTACCTGCACATGGCAATGAAAAACTCACTTCGTTTAAAAACACTTCTGCGCCAACAATCTGGATAATATTGTCAGTTGGCAGTAATCAACATGACATGAGTATTAAGAAACAATATCCTGTTGAAAACTTCCCTCTGACAACAATAATGATTGTGTACGTAATCCTTTGTAAAGTTGATAAAAAGACAATTCCAACGGAGGTGAGCTTGGTCCGACTTCACCGTCATTGCTTCTTTTCTTAAATTCGTCTCTGACTAGCTGTTGCTTATTCACCAGCTCCGTATCCAGGCGCTTCAAATAACTATAAATATAGGCAGACTAGAGGCTTTTTCATAGATCAGTGTTTTATACAGCTTAGCCACTGATCTATGTAAAAGCCTGTAGTGTGCCTATATTTACAGATTTAAAGCGCCTGGGTACGGGCTGGTGATTCACTATGAAGACCTAATCACTGCAGCATTTTCTTTTGGAACATTTTGGAGCTAATTTGATACCAGAGATTGAATTTGCGCCAGGGAAAAATATGGTTATCTTTTCGTGTGTTTGAAGTCGCTGTTTCCTTTTTACCACGTCCTCCATCACTCTCACCGGAAACAACATCTGATTTTACAGGACAAAACAGCAATTAGTATGCTGGGTTCACAAAAATCGTACATCTACATAAGTCAAACTGAGATGCTACCGAACTGAAAATGTTATCCGATTGAAATCAAATGCCTTATCGCATCGTGCAGCATGCCCTAAGGTGGTGCAGTGGTACTAACTAATTTGGCCACAATAAAGAACTGAATATTATATAACAATATCTGTATAGTTACCTTTCATTTTAATCCTTCGATAATGTTTTCAAATACTAAACAACCAAACTCCGTAACTTAATCATCAAGTTAAGTGGCAGAAAATTCCGACACTGAAACTATACCTTATTGTTGTCCTTTGATACTCAACATTGAAATTAGGAAGACAAGAAAAAAAATGAAAGATACATCTTGGAATCTACAATTGCTATATCCGAGGATTGCAACATCCAAGAATTCTTAAACCGCGCTGATAAAAGGAGGAGTTTTGTTTTATTCTAACCAATCAGCGCGTTTGTTTACAATTTCTTTTTAAGACCAATCATAATGCAGGTGCAGTAATAACCTTAGTGGATTTGTACGGATGGGAATTCTCGTGTAAACAAATGACCTACCTCTTGAGCTGCACGATTTTTTTACAAGTTGAAACATTATATGGTCCAGTTTTCTGCGATTAGATCAACTAATCAACTTCTTATATATAAAAAATATACAGTAAGTTTATACGTAGTTTATACACATATAAGTTTAAACGTATTGCCTAGCTCATTCAATTTATCAAATCTTCTTGCAAAGAAACTGAAGATAATAAATTATTGCCAATTGGCAGTAATCAACATGACATGGTTTGAAACCCCATGTCTTGATGATTACTGCCCACTGACAACATTGACATGATTTTTTCCTTGTTCACTGCATGGCATGTCTTCTTCCAGTACGCTTCAACTCTATTGACTTCCATCGCAATTCAGATTCTGAGAGCTTTGGCCATCATTTACACGTTTAGGATAGTTCAGAATATTTTTTTACATTTCAAGTTGATTACACTACGATAGAATAGAAAAAAGTGTTTACATAGAAGAGAATTCACCTAAAATAATAATTTCTGTTTTATAGGTGCAAGCCGTAACAAAAATTCGGAATTCTAAAATTTTCCGGAAATCAAAAGACATGCCTTCGTAGGCTCCTCCGCAGGCATCTCTTATGTACTTATATTAATTATATCGTAGGCATGGGTTAGCCTAGCCCAAGTCAAATATGCATGTAGATGTATTTTGTTGCAGAGCAATCCAATGTCCATAGATATTGAAGGCTTACTCCGACAATAATAAAATGGCTTTTTCTCTGAGGTTGTAATGTTGAACTAATATTTTTAATTGCAAAATTTTGCATCAATTCTTTTCCACAGGCACACATTAGCGGTGGGGGTGTGTCACCCCATCTTCTCTTGGGACAACGAAATTTGGTGTGGATCGAAAAAAGCCGTGTGGGTAACGTCCGAAAAGCATCGACTTGACAGCAACAGCAACCACAACAATGAACAACAAAAACAAGATTAGCAGCGATTGGGGACCAGTTCCTGGTCCATCAAGTTATGTTTCCCACATGAATATTTAAAGAAACTTCCATCTGTTAGCAAAGCATAACTCTAATGGAACGCCAGCTTTTCTTCTGCTAAAATTTCAAAATCATTTGTTTATGTTCAAATTGTAGCTAAAGAACTGAATACAGTACAAAACAAAGGTGCATTGAACGACTAAAGTGCTAGTTAAACTATCGATTTGGAATTTTGGTTTGGGAAATTTGACCAGCTTCGTTTCGCGTAACGCACAACATCCGCTCCCTTTTTTTCAAATAAGTCTTGTGCCAAGTTTTTCATTCGTATATTGTTAGAAAATGTTATGCCTGACTGTAAAGGGAAACAAGTGCATTCGTTATAGACAAAGGAAATATTTTAGAAAAAGGCATCATAGTCAACAATAGATGCGCTATCTTTTACAGATAAGGACCAGCAACACTATATGCATGTTGATTGTTGAATGTCAATAGCTTGTAGTGGTCAACCTGTGCCAAACTTAAATTGAATTGAAGTAATCTAAATGGCATCTGATAGGCGCCAACGCGGCTAGAAAACTCCTTTGAAGTGATGAAATTAATTGATTCTCGTGTATTTATGCATCGGGGAAATCCCTAATGAAAGAGGTTTTCCCCTTAAGTATAGACCGCAATATAAACAGTTTTTTATTCACATTTATTATTGAAACAAATACTATTGAATAAAATATCATGTTGTTAAAATATATTTAAAAACTAACTTTATGACAAGTATTAACTGCCTTTATGATTCAGTATTGATCAGTTATAGGAGAGATACTAGTGATAGAGAAGCTAGATAGTGTATAAATCTTTGACAAATATAACTAATTTAAAACGATTAAAACGAGGATGTCCCGTCAGACCCCATCGAGGAGGGAATCAAAAGTAGCCTAATAGACAAACTTGTAGTACTTACAGCATTTTGTCTGACCATTGCTTATATCTTGTTTAACACTTATAGCATGTATATCCTTTCGAAAAATTTTGCCTTATTGCACTCTGTATTGTGTTGTGGCTAACACTGATAAACTCACTGATTTCTTCTCTGCTTTATATATACACGCGCAAGCCTACTAACTTGCAGGAGCTACAATTCGCGGGTAATCCCCAAAACTCGCTGATGAACCAAAGCTTTTTCCCAAATAAGCGCGTTATTGAACGTTTCAGCAGTTGCATTCTATAGTGTAGTTCAAATCGCTGCATGGGTTTCTTCGTGATGAAATTCCATATTTGCCCAACATAGACTAAGTGCATGGAACTTACCAAGATGCTCCTTCACCTTTCACGGTCACAACATATATTCAGACATAATTTTCCTTGCCTATATTTTTTTACCTACACACAAAGTTTGGGGGAAATTTCGCACATTCTATACGAGAATAATCAGAAATCAATCTTAAATCACCATTTTATTAATTTTTCTAGCATATTTTGGCATTTTTGCCCATGAAATATGTTTTCCATGACTATAAGTATATTTTATACAAACCGATAAACCACAGAAGGCGGTATATTTGTAAAGAATTGAACACGCGTTGCACATTCTTAGTACAACCTCAACACGGCCGGAATGAACTGAATGAAGACACCAGCACATGTATTTAACACATAAATTATGTAGGTTAAACACTTAGAGTTTGGGGAATTCCGCCACGATTACGGGGAATCCCCAAACATTCCAGACATGGGGTTTTCCCAGTATAAATCTTGTGGCTTATTTATTGCGCCCACGCTTATCACTTTTTATGCTTATTCGACAATTTTCACAACCTAACCACCCGCCCCCGCAGAGGCTGACAGAGCCAAATAAGGAAGACACCTCACATAACAACATGTTATTTCAAAAGTTAAAAAATGAAAAAGCTGGCTTTCTTAAATTCTAATACATGCCAGCACTTTCAAGCAAAGAAAAGTCGTTCAAATAAATAACTATAGTATATACGCAATCAAAATTGTCAGTCGATATTCCACCATATTAGATGCAAGACACACACAAATACTCCACGTTAATTATCAATAAAAGTAATAAGAGTAGTTCTATTCTATGATACATTTTTTACATAATAATACTAAAATAATGCTACGAAATACCATGTAGGTTTTCGGCTATTTAAGGCAAGCATGGCAGTAGCTCATTGAACCGTAAAACGGAACGTTGATTATTCAGGAAGAAGCATCCAAATATACAGTATTCAATTCGGCAAGCAAGCACAATATTATGATGCAGCAAATTATGAAATGACAATAAAAATTAAAAGACTTTGGCTTAGCATGGTCGACGTGACCAATTTAAAAAGCCGTGAATTATGATTTCGGATCACAAGATAGTTCTAAAAGCGTAGACCATTTTAAACCTATGATATTCTCACCCAGGAAAGGATCGAAAGTAGTTACAAATGAATGGCAAGGTATATACAATGACAGATATAGAATATTGAAAAACAATGCATGCAGCTCCTAATTGTTAAAACTATGTACAGATTCAATCGACACCTTGATATTCCCTCTCGAGTGTTGTAGGGAAAAGCCCGAAATTCAGCATTTCCTTTCTAGCTCATAGACCAATTCAAAAAAAGCAGGTCTCAGTTGCAAGTTGTTGGAAAATTAGGCTACTAGTATGACACGCGCGCGCGTGTACATAATATTATTATGTCATAATAATAGACCGAGTAGACTCTTGTACACGCGCGAGCGTCACGAGAACGAAAATAATTCTGGGCTACTCCTATTTTCTCCACTCACAATATTTCAAAATTTTTGGGGGGGGTTATTTTGCCAGGAAAAAACTTATTATCTTCGTTTTGGGTATGCATCTTGCCGGCCCAACTATAGTCAAAAGGAATTGATTATTTTATAAATGATTACTAAAGCTAAACCAGAAACCTCCCACACCAAGTTCTCAATTAAAACCAGAGATTCACGACCAACCAAGCGTCTGGCAATCGCTGTCTTACCTGGAAAAAATCGATTTACAAGCACTAGTACATAACAAAACCATGTGCGACGCTCAAGTAAATATCTTGGAAGAAGTGGTTAGAACGTTAACCGGTATGGATATTATTATTCCAATGTCCTCCAAACTAATCGTTGTAAACGAACCCTCCTGGATAAACAGGTCTCTAAAGAAAAAGATCGTGCTCGGCAGAGGGCCTTCGATCCAGGAGATAACGACACGTTTCAATCCCCGCGAAACCAAGTGAATCTACAAAGAAAAATATATCGCGCTAACTACTGCGACTCGAAAGTGAAGCATTTACAACATTGCAAACCGGCGACGTGGTGGAGGGAAGTTAAGAAATTGAGCGGCATGTCTTCGTCAACATGGAAACGCGAAATAACATCTGTACTAGAACACATAGCCCGCGATCAGGAAGAGAAAAGTCAAAATAACTTTGCTAACATTATTAATAAAGTATTTATCTCTCCGATGACAGAATACAACCCTTTATCCCCTCGTAACAATGCACTAGATTCTGTCTTGGAAAGCGACCCTATCGTGACAGAAGAATAAGTTTCTAAAAAATTATCCGCTCTTTTTCCAACGAAACCATCCGAAACCATCCATTACGTACCTGGTTGGCTTTTAAAGGAAAACGCAGATATGGAGACGGAAAGAAACAAAATCATTCCAATACCCAAGCCAAAACCTGTCTCGGACGACAACAAACACCTTAGACCTATCTCCTTGACACCAATTCTATCCAAACAAGCGGAATATTTCATCGTTGATGAATTTGTTGAGCCATGCAGCCGTGGTTACCGCCTTTTTGACTTGTCGTCACCAAAGAGTTAACCTTGGCCAGCATGCAGCGTTACTCGGAGTAGGGTGCAATACCAGCGTGGGTACCCCAAGGCACAAAACGTGGGTCGTGGCTGTTCGTTATTTTGATTAATGACCTTGTCTTTATTTTTATTATTATTATTATAAATTAATAGATCTCCCAAACGGGCTTTTCAGATCAATTTACAAAACTATATAAAATACTATATAATATTTACATAAACTATAATAAATATTAGCTAATCTTTAGAAAATTGACTTGAAAGCATGATCTGCTTTAACTTCTTTTTAAAAGTTATAAAATTAATGATGTCTTTAAGTTCGTCGTCTAAGTCATTCCAAAACTTAGTTGCTCGAAATTTAAAACTCCTTTGCCCAGATTTCGTTTTGAAAAAGGGAATGTCTAGCTCGTTCATATTACGTGTTTCCCGGTCGTGGACACTGGAACGGGTAAAAAATTAATCACTTAGGTAGCTTGGTGCCATACCATTACGGCATTTAAACATTATCAATATAGGTCTCTGTAAATTAAATGATCTTTTACTGGAAGCCATCCTAGAACCTGCAGGTGAGGAGTGATATGGTCATACTTCTGTGCACCAGTTATTATTCTTACTGCGAAGTTTTGGACTAATTGTAGCTTTTTGATGTTTGAGTCCGACGTGTTTGCCCATACTGTCGAGCAGTAAAATAGTTTACTTAAAACCAACGACTCTATGATTAACTTTAAAGTTTCTTGATTAAAACAGGTTTTCACTCTATAAATTTGACATAAATTCGACATGCATGTTGATACCAATTTGGTTATGTGTTCATCATATGATAGTACTGGATCAAGAACTATACCAAGGTCCTTAGCGGAAGCGACGACATTTAAATTCTCACCCAAAAAGGAGATAGTTGGATCTATGGCTTCAATGTGTTGCAATTGTTGTCTTGTTCCAATTATCAAGAATTTAGTTTTACCGGGATTCACTAAAAGACTATGTCCACAACACCAACGTGTGACCTCCAATAGATTTTGTCTCATGGTTTCTAAGGCTAAGTTTGCATCTTGAGTTGAGAAGGAGAGGAACAATTTCGAATCATCAACATAAGATTCAAAATGGCAATTCGGTGTAATTGATGGCAAGCCGTCTATATATATACAGAAAAGCAAAGGAGAAATAACTGCTCCTTGGGGAACTCCATGTGTCACCGGACGTCGTGACGAAAGGGTAGAACCAATCCGCACCATTTGACTTCTTCCGGTTCAATAGCTTTCAAACCAATTCACCACTAAATTTGATGCGCCTACGTTGGACAGTTAATGTAATAGGATTCGATGATCGATGCTATCGAAAGCTTTCGAAAGGTCTAATAAAACCATGGCCATCAACATTTTTTTATCCATTGCTTCAAGAATCTCATCAGTTACCGCAACATTAAGTGTTGCGGTAGAGTGAAATAATTTATTACCGCTCTGGTGAGAAGTAAGCCTCTGCTTTGAAAGTAAATAGCTATTGAACTGCTTTAAGACGATCTTTTCACAGATTTTTGAAACCATTACCAGACGTGATAGTGGGCGATTATTGCATGGTATCTCGTGGTCGCTTTCTTTAAGTAATGGGATTGTCATAGACGTCTTCCAATTTGTAGGGAAAGTAGCAGAGGTCAAAGAGCTGTTGATAATGTTAGTTAATGCGGGTAATATAATAGGTAAACAATCTTTAAGTACACGTATCGGGATGAAGTCGATACCAGGTGATTTATTTAGTGGCATTTCTAAGACAATTCGTTGAACATCTGCGGTATAGAGACATGTTCGAAGTGAAATTGTTCATCTACTGGAAACACCATGGTTCGTCGTGAGGGATCAGTCAACTGCAAGTTATGATCTTTGGCGATGTTCTCTGCTGCAAGGGCGGTAGACGAACCTACGGAGGTGAAGTAGTAGTTAAATTCTTCTGCTACCAGAGTTGAATCTTTTGCATAGGTAAGAGTGTTTCTCTCCTTCGATGGGATACAATTGTTAATTATTTTCCATAAAGAACCCGAATTGTTCTTATTCTTTAATACTTCAGACGTGTAGTTATCCTTTTCAGCGTGTCTTAGTGCGGACTTAACAACATTACGGGCAGACACGAACTCCATCCAGTCAGCTTGACGGCGAGTACTTAAGAAAATTCGATGCAAATGATCTCTGTTTCTCATCATGTTTTTTATCTCATTAGTTACGAATGTGCAAGGCCGATTCTTTATCTTAACTGTAATTAGCGGGGCGTGTTTTTCCAAGGTGCTCTTTAACAACTTATCGAAGATGAATACCTTATCGTTGACGTCGACGTGTTCGAGGATCGAGTCCAATGTGTTATGTTGACGAAGCAGGTCAGATCTAAATTCCATTGGATTATATTTCTTGAAACTACGAATAGTTTTAAAGGATTGTTGTGGTTTAGGAGCTTTCAATTTAACAATAGCATAAACTGGGAGGTGGTCGCTGATGCAGGTACCAACTACGCCACTTGACTCTATTAAAGAAGAAGACGACGACATGATAACATCTAATAACGATGCACTTTTATCCGTGACTCTTGTATAGTCTTCAATAACCTGTGTTAAGTTTAACTCAATGTTGAAGATTCACCCATTAGTGAAACCATCCTGAAAAATGAAGTATAAGTCATTTTAAAGATGCACTGGACGACCTTGCCAACCAGTCCAGAGCAGATAAATTCCAACTTAATGAATCTAAGTGCAATGAAATGCGAATCTGCTTTTCCAAAGTGAAGAAAGACCTGGGGGCGGTTGAATCAAGCCCGTTTAGCTTGAACGGCGGATAAGTTCAAAATAGAAAGCAAGTCTAACGTTTTATTCAACAAGGGACTGACTAAATGGTTTTGTCCTTAATACAAAGATACTGTTTACAACAACATATTCAGTGCATAATATTCAAGTTGACTCGTTCAAGAGAGATGTCAAGAGTGTTATTTAAGCTAAACGAGCTTGATACAACTGGCGCATGGAACCTATCACAATAAATGATAAAGTTCTGGAAATTGTAGTCCATGCTAAGATCTTAGGTCTGAGAGCATCAAGTAATAATTTGAAGTGGAACGAACATGTTACTGAAATTGTTAAAAAAGCGTCCAAGCGACTTTATTTTTTTATCTCAGCTAAAACGTTCTAATGTTGGTACTAAAGAATTGGTTCAATTTTTTTAAACCGTGTATCAGATCTCTGTTGGAATATGCTTGCCCAGCATTTTATGATAGCTTACCCGAGTACCTCTCACACGATCTCAAAGAATGCAAAAGCGCGCTATGCATATAGTACATCCATCAGGCATCAACATCATACCAAGAAGCATTATCAATTGCTGAATTCGTTTGGTCCCTTTCGTCGTACGCCGCCAGTACCTTGCAGATAAACTGTTTTAAACAGATTTCAAACGATGAGAATCATAAGCTTACAAATAGAATAAAAATTATTTATATATACATAGATATAAAAGTTTTAAATGCATGCATGTAGATGAGTAGAGAAAAAATTAATTACTGATTTGACAGAGTTAGCTACTAATTATAAAACTGGTTTTAAAACGGTTCATCTTAACTTTAGCTATGTCAAATTTACACCTATTTCTCAAATTCACTGAGGAGCTATTAACAGATGGCAGCAGTTTATTAAACTAAACTGAACTCAGCCAATAGCTGTAATGTTTTAGTGAAAATTAATATACCATCTGATATCTATCTATCTATCATAGAAAGTTAAATGAGAATGATCGAAAGCTTCCAGCTTGATTATACTCTCATATTAATGGAGACTTATTTCTTCATGCCTTAGTTTGAAAATTTTTAAATCGCTAAAATACTGCGTGTAATTCTATATGCGAAAAATTAAAAAATACCCTAAAATTACGATTAGATTGATAGTTCCTTTACTCGCTCTTCATTGCCTCCCTAAAATGTATTTTCTGGTCGATCTCTGAATGAATCCACCCAACCAACGTGCCATGCACGTGCATGTTAAATTCCATCCAAGATCTTCATTTATTTACTTGCTCACGCCTGCATCATGTGGTTTGGTTTCAGATAACGAGTTTTGCCACACTCGCTGGAAACGAAAATTTCTGCCTTCTGGAGTATCTGATAATGGTCCAGTGACGTCAAAAATACGAGAATTATACTATCGTAATCATCTGCATGTCCCAATCAGTCTAAAAATCTTCAGTTCACCCCATAATTCCAAGAGATCAGAGTGGTTTACTGACTTTAATCACCTTGTTTTTATTGTTTGTTTTCTAACTGGTTTTCTTTGAAGTTTGTGCGCAAAACTTTCTCGGCATATTGGGCAGCGAGTCCTGAAAAAAGAATGAAAAAGGTTGTAGAAATAGCATGAAAAAAGACTTTTACGGTCACACACCAAAACCAATTTTCATACGTCAAAATGACATTCGTATACAACTAAATGTAGTGTTGTGAACGGGGATTTTTTGCCAGCAGGATAGTCGTAACTATGGGGGGTGTATATTATAATGTAACTTTCAGCTTACATTCCGTTTTGAATCATTAACTTGGAGCATTCTTTATGAACTTTGTGGGAACATGGCAAAATTTGACATCCCGTAAACGCATCCTGCAAAAAAATGAAGGAAATTTTTAAAATGCATGGATATATTTAATTACACGAGAGTACCCAAGTGGCCCAAGTTTGTTTCACTGAAATTAATAGTAAATAGCATGGGTTTCTTAAGGCAGAAAACCTAAACTGAAAAATTATGTCCGGAAACAAATTACTGTGACGTGAAGTCATCAAGGAGGGTTCCGATTTTGATTCCTCCACCGCTACTATTCGCTGACCTCTTGCCTTTTTGATTGGTCAATGTGATAGCCAGATTGGATTGGTTATGCGTTCCGGGCGAAGATAGGACAATGGTATAATGAAAGTAATTTTTTTCACATCACTTATAGTTACCTCGAGGCAGATACCACAGTTGTCATGAGCGGAATCTGGACGACATTTATGATTTCCTCTGAGTTGAACATCAAGACAAACACCACAGACGTCGCAATGAAATGAACGATCTCCATGGATCCTGCAATAATAAGTTGTCATAAAGTTAGTTGTGATATTGTAATTGAAGAATATGATTATTTTTTAAGTTGCTCTATAGAGTTTATCTATATAGCAAAAATTCTTACCTGCAAATTCCACATTTCTCGCAATGATAGGGATGATCATCTCTTCCAGTAAGATGCTTGCAAAGACCACAGTAAAAATCAGCGAATTGAGTGTTACATGAAACACAAAATTGACCGAACTATAAGAAGATAATGGAGAAAAATTGCTATAGAAAAGTTGCAAAAAATATACGGCAAATTCAAGGGGGGGGGAATTAAAAATCCTCACAAGTGCGTGAATTTTCCATATGAAATAAATTAGCTATTATCCTATTGTTCATTACCTGTTGCTCTTTACCGCATTCCATGCACTTTACCATCGTCGTATCACGTGATTTCAGTTTCTTTTGCTGACACGTGCTCGTCTCGTTGTGGCAACGATGACAAGCCCAGTATTTATCACAACATTCAAATTTCACCATGCAACGTCTTTTGTAGTGATTACACAACCACCTATCTGGTTGTTTCTTCACATTGTTTGATCTCTCAGACCGACCATTTGGATTATTTGATGTGGATGGAAAATTAAAACGTGCGTTTTGGTTACGAGCACGTGTTCGGTGCTCTTGATGTCTTGAATTCTCTGTAGTACCATTGCTTGCTTCTCTTGATCTACTTTCGTTACCTGAAAATAATTGCAAAAATTGTAGCTTTATAAGTTAGTTATTCTTACGAAAAAAATATCGCTAAGCAAAGTACATCGGTAGAAATAGTGCCCAACTTTGCTTAATGGTCATTTATTCCGAAGTGGCACATCTAAAAGCAACAAAATTTTGAAGTAATTGTGAAATTAGATAAAAGTTATTTCAAACCGACCTCTTGCTGTATCTCTTGCACGGTCATTAGGGACATCTTCATGCGTGGACAATCTATTTCGTCTTGAGAGAGTTTCGCTGGGCTTCTGATGATGAACATTGGCCATATCATGTTGATTACTGACAGGAGGCATGACCATAGTATCTGTACGAACAAGGGGAAAGTTTTGTTCAGATATCTCTCGTTGAGACGGAATTCTACGAGATGCGTACGCCCGATTGACATCTCGTGTGCTGCTCACGCTCTTTTGCTTAATTTCAACTACCATCCTTCTCAAATTAACATAGTTGCCGCTGTGGTATTCATCGATGAGGTGAACTAAATCAATTCTCAGAATTGACTTGAGGAATTCGCGAAGTACGCTTGTATTTGATGCGTTTATAACACCTTTTCGGTCCAATTGAAGAATGATTTCGGTTGAAGTAAGATTCGTTTCGACTAAAAACTGTTCATGAACCCAATCTTTTAGCTTCATGATATCACCGGTGAGCAAATTATTGGCAATGGCTAGCAATAGTTGTTTATATGCATTATGGACTGAAGATATTGCTGACGAAAGAGATGTATTCCCTCCATCAGCACCATCTGTTTCTTGTATTTGGACTGGAAAACGCAGCGGTTCAGATGAACCATTGCTTTCATTTGAAGGAAGCACACCTGAACTTGATCCAACACGGTCTGGTTGGTTTTGATTTCGAGGAATATTTTCTTCAGTGCGATGATTATCAGGAGACACGACTATCTCAGCGGATTCTTCACTTGCGTTTACAGATACAGCGGATTTGCTGGGAAATATTTTCTTAAAAATCTCGATATCTTTTTCTTTGGTCATTTTGGAGTCGATCTCAACCGAGAGTCTTCCTACATCGGATAACAGATCTTTTTTCTCGTCTTCAAGTCCCTTTATATGTTCCTCAAGACCGAGGATTGTTTCCTTGAACTTCAGTATTTCATTTTCCAACAGTTTTTTCTCTTCTTTGAAGTGACTTTCTTTTTCTACATACTCTTCCAGAAGTTTTTCAATGAGGTCATTTTTTTCTTGTAATAACTGTTTTACCGACTCATTTTCATTAAACAACCTTTGATTTTCCAATATTAAATCTTCACTTAACTTATTACAATAATCTTCCACGCTTGGTGTTAACATTTCAGTTAACTTCGATAGAATTTGTAAATTAGAACCATCAATTTGTTGAGAAAGGCGGTCCTTATTATATTGTTTGCTGTTCTCCCAACAAAATATGAAAGGGTTAGCGTTTCTGAAGATGATTTTTAAGTTTTCAACGTCACTGATAAAGATGCATAATGAAATATTTGGTGTCATATTTACAGTTTTAAAGTCCAAAAGCCATAACCTGAATTGTTCGTAACTCAGCATTATAGGTATAGCATGTATTTTAATAACCGAGAACGATTCTATTTCTCCCGTTAACCCAATTCTAATGTGTGTCAGGAAATCATCACATGTGAGAAAATTTTTAGGGATTGGAAAATTTTTCAAAGTGAAAATTAACGCGTCGCCCAATTTGTGAAACAAGACCCAATGATGAAATTCCGTTAATTGCACCTGTTCCTCAAGTTCAATCGAGATGTGTATAATCCACTTTTGCATTTTCAGTAATTTAACGGAGAAAATAAACTCCAGAGACCCGTTCCTTTTCTCGGAATACTTATCAAAAGAACTAGCGACATAATTCACCATGAGACGGTAGAGTAGCTCGGACCAACTTGAGTATTTCCTTAATACTGCAGAAAACCTGCTGTTTTTGAAATAAATGGGTAAATCACTACCGGAAATGTTTGGCGTCAGGTTCATATCGCATAATTGATAAATGCTGTGCTGCCCTTGTGCACTTCTAGCTTTATCAACTGTGTTTCTTCCAATACGACTGGCATATTTACGAACCATGCTTCCCATACTCAGTTGAAAGAAGCACACTAAAATTGAAACAAATAGAACGGATACATAACTTTCAACACTTTATAAAAGGTAATTCAAAATTATACCAAACGAATATATCGCAGACGATAATTTGTAATATTTTTCAAAATTACCCGTGGACAATAAAGAAATAATTTACAATAAATCAAAGGTTCGCATAGACAGTCAAAATAACATTCCTATCAGGAATTGCAAAGTTCTCAAAACGTTTTATGGATAGAAGTTCTACAGACATGAAATATAACGTATCACTGAAGTAACAAATAAATAGTAACTATAGATACTAGATCGTTTTTAAATCCTTACTAAGGCTTACCTTCTTAAATTAAAAATGTCCTATATCTGCTTATATCTAGCTTCTTCTTGAAGAGGGTAAGTTAGCTTCACCTTTTCAACAATCTCAGTTACTTTCTGACTTGTATTCAGTCATGACCACTATTTATATAATCAGCACAATGCATAGCTGGGGAATTCCCTAACTACACGGTGCATTCCCGAATAATAAAAAATTCAATAACGAAATGATGCATGTAATATATATCAGTTATCCGGCCTGAAAACTAGTAAACATGTCCTACTTTGACTTCTTACAAAACATGTATGCGGATGGAAAGCGCCCTCATGCAGTTGCAAAAGACAAAAAGTTTAAAGCAAGATAAGAGTCAAGTTTGCTAGACAAACTGACCGGAACAATATACCTGCACGGGTCGGCTAAAGAAAACAAGGATCATTTAAGTACTCGCCACAGCTGCTCATCTAATTTTGGCAAAATTTCAGTTCAAACATGCATCACCGTACTATCAGTAATTCCGAATTGTACTCGCCATCGCATGATATTACCTATAGCTACTTAGTGCATTGAATAACGTGATCTAAACGTTAGCAGACCTATTAATTGCAAAGCCAGTAGCAGTACCCAGGAAACTTAAAACGCCTGAACAAATTCGGCAACAAAAGGCTCACTTTTTCTTGCTCTGAGTTACCAACCGGGAAAGCTGCAAAACAGTTGGCAGTAGCTCATTTGGAACAACATAGGACATTTCCACTAGCAAACTGAAGGTCGCATGTTCCATTCTCACTGTGGTAAAACTATATGGCTAATCAGTTTTAAGCTTGCCCGGTTGGCAACTCAGGTCGCAGCATCACAATATTTCACGCGATTATTTAACTACTAAACCACGATGCTATTTGCCCGAAATATAGCATGTACTGGCGAAATAATATATAAGAATTAATATAAGTATTCTGGAGCGGTTTTATGAATCCAAATTATCTAAATTTTGAGAAGAATTTTAAGTTACGAACTCATATCAAGTAGGGAAAGTCTGGTTCTCCCACTATGTCTATGGGTATTCCCCCTTTTCACACAGCTGACAGTAATTTGCATAATTTAGCAGGTTTCACAATAAGTAATGCAAGAAGTTCAAAGGCCATATAGAAGCTAGACCGCGTTGATTTGTTTCTTTCTGCACATTCTATGCCTATGGCTTCAAAATTGCCGTAAAATAAGACAGAGATAGCTACCTATATACACACGAAATATTCCGTGGTGCATAATGAATTGTGACTGATTATTTACCTTTCACTTTCACTAAAAACAGAGTCATAAGACATACATACATGCATGTCGAATTTATCTACGAGTTGCAAAGTAAATTAAATGACCTCATTGAACATATATAACTTGGAACTTGACTTTCACAGTAAACGGGCATCCGTTTCAAAACATCATAATAATCACCATGTTCATAATCATGCATCTATAGGTATTGACACAGACGTGCTTTTATCTAATTCACTGAACTAGGCTCGAAATGGGCGCACGGGAACTTAGTTGTATTTATTATTATTATATGGATGGGGGTATTTTATTGCATGAGGACTAAAACACTCGTAGAACGCATACGCCACTACATCTGTGATACAGTGCGGATATTTTCAGTATTTCATATTTAGGGGTGACATAAGGAGTTCGAAAAATTTTCCCGTCTTTTTTATTGCTGTTGTTGTGAAAACACAAACTGTTTTTTGTTCGTATATAAAAGGAAATTAACGTTAGAAATGCAAACGAAAACACTTAAAATATATCTATAATTAGGCTATAATTAGACTATAATTTAAAAAACATTCGCTTTCATAATGGTCTTTCGCGGTTTATTTACTTGTCGTCTTTGCATGTGTATTTTTGTCGCTCATAATTTAGTCTGTATAATAAACAGAACATTACACTGTTCGCTCGAAGATATGGCTTTTATGTTCTTGTGTCATCTTATTCGTTCGCTTCAACCGTGTAATATCCTATATATACTATAAAGGAATTATTGGCATACCAATAGAGCCGGAATTTATTGCTTCCTGCATTTGAGACTTAAAGTAGATTTAATTTGACGTGCGGGTAATTTCCCTATAATGTCACCCTTGAATTTTACCTAGAGTATAATAATATTGTGCCGTTTACACTAGTCTATAAGATCTAGTTCACAGTTTGGCCTTAGCCAGTCCCAGGCTCGAGATCCGGACAAACGACTTTGTGATGCGCTTGCCCTGACCAGGCGAAAATATAAATTGCTGACGTTCCCTAAGGCTAATCGTTTGTCCGGTGGGGGTGAAAATGTCTGTCAGATTATTCATTTTGCGCAACATATAGATATATTATAGCCAAATATTAATACCATAGGCATAGGAATGTCTTATTCATATTTATCTATTTCAGATATTCATTTCATTCAGCTCTTATTTTGTGGCCATTGAGAAGAAAGACAATAACACCATATGTTTGCTCATGCAGTCTAATCTACACGCGTCACTATAGCTGTCGTTGTTGGCTGCCGTCTACCGACGTTCATCACACTATAACCCTGCAGATTTTTATAATACATCGTCACTTTAGGCTTTGTAATAAAATATTTTTTACTATTACGACATACAATTATGTATGATAATTGCAAAATCCGCGCACGGGAAAGTCCCTTGATTTTTATATTGATAATTTTTTCCTCGGATTTTCCCTGACCATAGCTCTGTTTATTCATATGATCCAGCCGTTCCTGAGTGTAGCCAGTGTAGGCCTATCGTTTTTTTTCGTTACCTGCTTGCTGTCCCTGAATGAAATAGCTACTGCATTATTGTATATATTTTCGATCAAAATCATTCATATATAATATTTCCGTGACTGGAATCAGCTTTGCGCATGGACGCCGGAGAAGGGGGGGGGGGAATTCGCCAATTGTCTCTTGGTTTTCACTTGTTTTTACTAATTTCAACTCTATCAGTGCCCCTCAAATCTCATTTTCGAACCCCTAACCGAACGTGATCCTTCCGGCGTCCCTGGCCCAGTACCGGGCAACACTGCCTCATATATAGAAGCTCGTAATCTAAAGCTTTGTTAGATGTGAAAAGAGTAATGAATACACTTCACACTTGCTACGTGAGTCTTATATTTTGTTACACACTGATCGCCTTTGGTTGATAATATCATGGCTGATATTAGCGATATGGAAACCACGCTATGGATTACGACGTTAAATTTCTGTTCGTTGGAGCTATTAATAAACTAACTATTAAGACTGAACGAAAAGGAACAGTATACGTCAGTAGGGAACATGTTGGCGTACGCAGGGGCGTATATATAGCAACCGGGTCGAAGTACTTTCATCCGAAAAGTGCCAATTTTCGAGTATTTGAATTTGCTTGTCAGCTGTTTCATGATCACCTAAACACAAGAGCACCAGCACGTTTCGTTCTATTCCCCTTAAACACACGCATGCATGCTTAGTTAGTTAATCTTAAGACGATAACATAATGGAGGGTATCTCCCGGGATGCGAACCGCCCGATCACAACGTCCGGAGAGAAAAAAAAATAAAGATATGAGTATAGGCTCTTACATATATTTCCATGCTAATTATAACTGCCTCCATAGTTTGAAAAAAAGGGGAAAAGTACCAATATGTACGGGCAAGTGGCAAAGGTTCAAACAAGAAATTATTTCGTGCGCTTATAACATGACAATTGGCCGTTTTCACCCTAGAGACGGATAATACGTCTGGACGTATAATGCATCTTCAATATTTTTTGTCTGCTTATTCGTCTTCAGTATAAAGACGGACAACAGACGCATAATACGTCCAGACGTTTAATGTTCGGTTTTTCGTCTTAGAGACGCATAACCAATGGTAGTTCGTCTGGACGAATAGAGAGGTTAAGATACCCCGGTTCCGGTGTACGGGTACGGGTAGCCTTATTTTGTTCAATGAATTTCCATTAGTGTTTCCCCTTTTTAGACATTAACTCGACAATTCTTTTCCAGTACACTTTAGCCTCTTGAGGTAAGCATTATTTGTATCTTGAAACGTGAAAACAACAAGAAATTCCAATGAACAAAATGTGGCTATCCGTACCCGTATACCGAAATCGGGGTATCTTAACCTCTCTAATAATTCCTCTGTTGTCCGTCTTTATAATGAAAACGAATAACCAGATAAAAAATATTGAAGACGCATTATACGTCCAGTCCCATTATGCGTCTCTTGTGTGAAAACGGCCATTACCAAAACATCTCCCTCGGCGAACTTATACTGATTTTTAAATTTACCAAATTTAACAAAGTAATTAAAAAGAACCGTATTATTAGCCTGCGTGCAGTCCCAGACTTCCAAAGGAAGAAAGGACTGCGCAACTTGGGCCGAAAGCTTGCTACGCCAGCTTTCCCGATTTTGGGGAAAATAATTTATGCAAGATAATTAATGCGCTAAATATGCAGCCGCTCGAATATGTAAACCTAATAATATGGCGGCAAGCAAAGAGTGTTTTGGCGTGCCATAGTTCGCGAAAGGTAATAAATTGTTAATATGTCCTCCAAAATTTGTGTTTTATGTTTCGAACCGTTGTTAAAGCCAACAGATCTTAATTTGGTTCATGGAAAAGCTAATATAAACGCTGAATTAAACGATTTGCCGTTTGTTGTTCACGGTTCGTCGCCTTATATATGTAAAGGATGTCTCCGGCTGATAAAGAAACGTAAGATTTTGAAGGAAAATTTGCTTAACATCGACGAACAGCTAATATTATTATATCGCCAGAAATGTGGAGATTATGGCTTTTCGATGAAACGAAGAGAAAGTGGATCAGCAGTAACCAGAAAGTTAAGTTTTCCAAACAACCCAACCAATACAACGAAACACATGCAGCATGACATTCAAGTTCAGTGTGTTGGAATCCACAACGAAGCAATGCTAAATTTAGAAAATAATCAATTCAGATCAAGGTACTGTTGTAAAAACTGTTTACTTCCATACACATCAATATTTTACACCAAATAATTTTACCAGTCAGTGAAACATTTTTATTACTTCCAATTAATGGGTGTATGGGTTACAGAACCAGTATCTTCTGATAAATCAATT